ACCTACTTTGCCCACTTTACCGGCAACTTGCTATTAAGCGTCGGCACGGTAGCTGAGTTCCCCTGTCTAGACATTTCTTGTATGGTTCTCTCATTCGTCGCACTTCATCTTAGGTGCTACTCCTTTACTTGGCTTTCTCAAGAATTAGTGGTGGTCGTAAAGGAGAAACCTCTACTCACAATCTGTCTGCTCAAAACAGCCACGACAGATCAATTGAAATTACTATTGTTTTTTCATATTTGTTGTGTTTTAAAAAAAGTTACTAATCATCTATAATAACTTTTCGAAGAATTTGGGTGAAGCTTTTCTTCACATTCTGGGCTGTTCCGTCATTTTGTGAAATTTGTAGAGGGCTTATCAGCTGCATTGTCGGGTGTGCCAGCATCTCCGCTCCCGCGCGGCCGCCTCGCCTGAACTCTGCACCTCTTCACGATCATGCTCTCCGATCGCTTCTCCACCACGAGCGTAGGAAAGACGGAGTTTTAATCGATTGAAAATGATTAGAGAGCATGTCCGTGAAAGAGGTGCAGAGTTTAGGCACGGTAACGAAGATGCTGCTGCACCCGACACTGCAGTTGATAAGCCCTATAACTTGGAAGCCTCGTGTGGTGACAATTGTGTGGTTATGTTAATGCTCATCTAGGACTCGTTCCTACCTTCCTGAGGACAAGCAATTTTTGATTGTGCGAAATGTTCCATGCCATAAACGATGCCGACAAATGGAATACGACCCAAGCCAGGAGAAGGTTCGTTCTCCATTGCTTTGAGATGTGAAGAAATGGATATGGTTATGGATTATAGACATGGTTATAGATATTATCTTCAAACGAGATTGGAGCCGAAGAAGGTTTTGCTGGCGACGAAGACAGTGGCTGGGTAGACACGCATCATTTTGGTCACGAAGGGGGAGAGATGAAAAGCGTTGAATTAGGAGCAACGGTGAGTATACGAATGATTTTTCTTTCAAAATACTTTCATTGGTCTCGCATTTGTTCGTTATTCTTTTGTTTGTAAGCCATTTTACATTGACTCAATTCTTACACAAGCTGGCATAGGGGGTCTGCAGCTGATTACAGTACTGTGTCCATACGGCATTCTAAAGTTCTGTGTTGAGAAAGAAACTCTTTATAATCTGCTGTAACTCCAAAAGGGCAGGATAGCGAATGATATGGCTTTTGGCACGTCGAATTTCTCTGTTTGCGAAATTTCAGGAAATTTTGAGAACTTAACCACTTACGTGCACCTGCTATGAACTGGGTATCATACCCCCTATAGATAATTCGACATTGCCGACTGAGTTAGCAATCTCGAATAATCTGCATGAAATTGATGAATCTGAGGAGTAGTGCCTTCTTTCTATTTTCGTTTTGCACTTCTCTGGATTTCGATCATCCATAGCGCAAACTGGAAAAATGCATTGCGAATGAAGATTTGATTTCTTTAAGGGAGCTGATAGCGGTAACGATGACGGTGATGCTGATGAAGATGAACCGGCTATGGATCTCGATGATTTCGTCGAATCTGGCGGCCTTGAAGATATTGACCCTAATAGGTAGCTGCTTCTAACGGCAAAAGCGCGAGTATGCTTTCTTCTTACAGGTACATCGCTTCTCATTCTGCACCAGTAGCTGAAGTCGAGAGACCCCGAACATATGATCTACATATTACTTATGACAAATACTACCAGGTAACCTAATAGTCATTCATCATCCAATCTGCGACTAGGATACTCAGAATGCTGGATGATTTTGTTAGCCCTGCATACTCTCTTATAAAACACCGCCTTTCGTTGCTGCCACGATTGCGATTTTGGGAGCAGATTTTTGAAGCTTTTCTTGGTTTTTGTCAGCGCTTTCATGTTAGCCAATGTATCCATGTAATGCTTGAGATCCCCGAATTAAGATAGTTTCTTGTTTTTAGCTGTCTAAAATAACGAAAATACACTCTTGCAGCTATACAAAAGTTTAAGTCACAACTTATTACTAGTCTCAGCACTGAATTCACTTCCTTCAGGTTCCGAGATTATTTCTCATGGGGTATGACGAGAATCGGAAGCCTTTGACCGTTCAGCAAACATATGAAGATTTTTCAGCCGTAAGTTAACGTGTGGTCATACTTCTACAATATTTCCATTTTAAGGATCATGCGAATAAAACCATTACCGTTGAATCGCATCCACATATAGATTGTGACATGCCGACCGTACATCCTTGTCGACATGCTGAGGCAAGTTCATTATTCCACAATGCTGCTTCCATGTCTGTATTTAGATGATGAAGCGCTTACTCGATCAATTAGCCGAAAATGGCAAAGAACTTGGAGTGCACGAATATTTGCTAATCTTCTTGAAATTTGTTCAGGTTAGGATTTGTTCCACCTGATTTGATATGGATACTTCGCACTTATGCATAAAGCAGTGGCGTACCGAGGGGAGGAGGGGGGAGAGCCTCACCCCGCCGAGAACAGGTCGCGAAATTTTTGAAACTTACAGGAGTCATAAGAATGTGCAAGTGAATAACCAAAATAAGTTTTGATATTTTCTAAAAATTCGATTTGGCTTTATGAAGGAATTTTTCTTGGGTGTGACCGCAGCCACCCCTCCCCCTTTTTCTGCGATCTCGGGGTTATGGGCCCGCGAAAATTTTAGAATGCATACTAGAAGTTATTTTCGGAGTGGCTAACGCCACGTACCTTCGTGAGAGTAAGATTTTGCTCCTTTCTCCAAACGGACTTGTTAACCGCCACTGCTATATTGGTACATACCGCTGGTGAATTTGCACATTGAATTAAATAATGTATGTGCAGCCTCTGTAATTCCTTCATTTTAGACTGTCATTCCAACAATCGAGTACGACTACACGCGATCCATACAATTGTGATTCGCCTTATGGAAAAAATAGCTCGGCCTGAGGTGCTTATAACCTTATACACTTTATGCCTCATTTTGGGTATTTTTGTCGAACATTTGCCACATTTATTGGTTTGAAAAAGCATGTATGCTATTTTATTTTCTGATTCATAAGTGCAAGAATGTCGGATGTCATTAATCAAGTTACTCAGATTCCTGATTTTCGCATATTTCTTTACCTTTCCATGCTTTTTGCCCAGTTTTCGCACTGAAACTTTTTCTGTGATATGTAACGCCAGACTTCTACATCTCACACATCTCCCAAAGTCTTACAATATTCCAGTCTGTATGAACTGTGCTGAATCATCTCATGATGACAGATTGTCCTTGTTCACTTTTCAGTTGCTATTCATCTTGCAGAGCAAGATACGGTTCTCTTCATTGTTTGTATGTTGTGAGAGTGTTATAACGATGCACTATCAAATGAGTGGGACGTTGTTGGCAACATTTTCTCCTTTT